TTCCCCAAAGTTTCAGTCCCGTAGCTTTTGCCGGTCTCGAGATGAAAAATCGGTACAGACGCACAGCACACACACAGACACATACACAAACACACACACACACAGACAACCTCTCGTCAATATGCGTTTTTCGCATTGCATTGCTGCAAAAAACGCGTAAAAACCAGTACTAGTGACAAAATATAGGCAAAAAGTCAAACTCCCCTCCCTATTCAGCTTGCTTCAAACACACACACAGACAACCTCTCGTCAATATGCGTTTTTCGCATTGCATCTAAAAAACGCATACGCACACACAGACACATACACACACAGACAACCTCTCGTCAATATGCGTTTTTCGCATTGCATTGCTGCAAAAAACGCATAAAAACACACAGACAACCTCTCGTCAATATGCGTTTTTTGCATTGCATTGCTGCAAAAAACGCATAAAAAGGACCATCTCCCACAGAAGCCAAATAAAAATCAAGAAAGCATAACAGGAGCTAACTTTTGGTACTTCAGTTAAAAACGAAATTTGAGCACTATCCTACATTTTAACGGTCATTTTTATCTCATCTGTACCACCACCTCTACAGCCTACACATTCCAAGTTAAAACAACTTAGTGGAAGATAATGAAAAAATTTTGCTCATCAATTCTCGCTTCAGTTAAATTTGCAGAAATTTTCACCGACGCATATTTCTGCCTTTTTTCGCTTAAACGGATTATTTGTTTCATCGCAGTGTACAAATAAAGAATTTTGACGGAGGCATAAAAAATTGCAACACACTTTTTTTTGCTAATTTATAACGTTGTTCTGCATTTAATGGACCGAAACATTTCTTTATAAAATTATTTATAAGATTATTAATAAAATTGTTCTGCACTTGATGGACCGAAACATTTCTTTATAAAATTACTTGTAAAATTATTAATATTTATAACGTTGTTCTACACTTCTTAATGGACCAAAACATTTCTTTATAAAATTATTTACAAGATTACTAATATTTATAACGTTGTTCTACACTTCTTAATGGACCAAAACATTTCTTTATAAAATTATTAATATTTATAAAGTTGTTCTGCATTTAATGGTCCGAAACATTTCTTTATAAAATTATTAATATTTGCAACGTTGTTCTGCATTTAATGGTCCGAAACATTTCTTTATAAAATTATTAATATTTGCAACGTTGTTCTGCATTTAGTGGACCGAAACATTTCTTACTAATTCATAAAATTATTAATATTTCTTTCCCTTTGTTCCTTTGTGTTTTTACATTACTTTTACTTTTTGAAAAAATCTATGCAGCTACCAGCTTTTCCAGCTGGGCTGACCACCGTTTTTGCATCGCTCGGTGGACAGCCTGCTGATAGTCCTGGAGTTCTGTACGTTTTTTAAACGGAAGCCAAAAGGAACAGAAATGAAACGCACCTTTGAAGCCAAGATAATAGGCATGGATGAGTTTGCGATGATCATAGAGATATGCTCCAAAAGCGCTTACAACAGCAAGGGTAATTAAGATAAAAAATAAAAAAAGAATACGTTGATTGGTTATCGAATCGATATTGGACCTGAAACAAAAAAAAAACTTCGATTACTTCGCAAATTCATGCGTTTGAGGGTCCGAAAAATTCGAAATTTTGATCGAGGGAGATCGAGAACGGTCATCAGCTGCGTGGATGAAGCAGCAATTTGCGGAAGTGCTGCTACAGTCAGCAAAAACGCATAATGTCGAGAGGTTGTGTTCGGAAAGCGAGTGCATTTTGTCACCTACTTTCATCGCAGCAATCAGGAAAGCTGGGAGGCTGAAACTTCGGCACTGTGCAAAAGTATTGAAAGAGCAAAAAATTACTGCTTCAATGGAGCTGTTTTCGAATTCATTAGCAACTTGGCATCGTGCCCAGTGTACAGCACTGCACCACATATCCAACGCGTATGTTTCAGACGAGCACCGCGCAGCAGCAGTTGGCTCATACCTTCAAAAATATCAAAAATGCGAAACACGATCGTAGCAAAATGAACTTCTCCTACAAGCAGCGATGCTGTTCACAAAACTTACGAAGGGAGTGGAGCCCTTTCTCGATAAAACTGCATAAAATTTGGGGAAGAAAAGAGAATAAGAAAGTATATTAAAATAGGAAGGTATCTATTAAAAACGGATGAAAAGAGAACTGAGCAGAAAGGAAAGAGTAAGAGAATTACAAAATTTGTAAATTAATAAAATATGGTAAGAAATGTTTCGGTCCAATACCACGAAGTTCCTACGTGACTTTCCTAGCGAATTCTGCGATAAGGACATTTTCACGTTTTAAATGGGGGATATAATCCAGCAGAAGAGAATATACTAAGCAAGCGTTCTAGCTTCTCAGATCCCCCAAGTTATGAACTTGCGTCAAAAAAATTTTGGCAGGTCTTCACGCGCTTACCACGCTTTCCCGGGGGACGGGTTTCAGAGCGTT